CGGAATCTGTGACTATTCAAGTTAGATGGCATTCTTTGCCTTTAACCTGTATCCATTCTTCTGTATACTGTATGTCATCTCTAAGTTACTAATAATCCCTAATACAACATAAATAGCCCGGAAATAGTTCTTATATTGTATTAGTCAGGGAAAAATGTCCAGGTACAATGTCTGACATGTTCAGTAATGATGTTATTGAATATTGGTTTTAGTTAGTGTGAATGGATATGTAAAAATAATTTATACAGGGAAATGTTCAAATTTAAGGATAATGGCAAGAATACCACAACCTCACTATTCATGGGAGAATGGTAGACACAGGGCAAGCCCAGGGTTTGATCTCTTTATCTTAACCTCTTCAGTGCAGGGAGAAGAGTGTTGGTAGCCCATAAAATTCTGAATGACTACATCAGGATTTTGTGTTGGTTTTATTAAGAATTATAGAAGAGACATGTGGCATTGCTGTGTGTGTGTGTGTGTGTGTGTGTGTGTGTGTATTTAGAAAGATCTCTTTCCTATGTTGTTTCTGTTTGTAATCCAAGTCTGGTTTTTTGTCTCTGCTACTTTTATAAAGAATCCAAAATATAAGATGCAGTCAGGTGACATTGATTAGAACTTTTTTTCAGATTGCCTTTTTTTTTTTTTCTTTTTTAGAAATCAGCCCACTAAACTACTACCAAAATTAGTTTAAAGGGTAGTCTCAATGTGTATTTATAGACTGGTTCAGTATAAATCTATTTCAGGGCTACATAGAAGTTTTATTACCTAGACCAGAGTTGGCTGCAGACCTCCAGCCAAAACCCAGATAATCATTAAACTGCCCCAGTGACGCACCACCTCACTGGCTTAAGAAAGGGAAAGCATATAAATCGAGACGTGACATCAGCCTTGTTCTAGATGTTTGATGTTTTTTCTGGGATGGTGAGTCTGTTTATTCTTTTTGAGCATGCTGTCTGTAGGAGCAGTCAAGAGTCTCAGCGTGACTTTGCACAGCCTCTTTAGGAGGATTGCAGGGCTCTTTCTCTGTCTCCAGACAATGGGGACTTATTTTAATCTGGTGTGGTGACTCCGGGGAGCAGCATGAGAGGCAGGGTATCTGGAAGGACCTTTTGTACAACTCTGAGATTGGCTCCCTCTTGAGCACTCCCCCAACCCCCATGCTAGAATCCTGGCCACAGGTTGACAGCCTGTTACCTGATATGAGATTTCCCTGCCATGCCACAGTTACTGCCCCTACATTCCCTAATTGCCACTCTCATCTAATAGCCCTGTAACACCACATGGCTCTCTGCTTTGTCTTATGTCCTGAAGTGCCCGACAATGGCCTGGACACCAAACCTATAACCAAGAAAGGAGCACTGGGGACATGCTGCCAGGGGATTAGGGTTGACATGAAAATTGTTGGAGTCAGGAAATTCCAGGGCCCTTAAGTCATCTGGGAAGACATTGGACATGAGAGGCCAAGGGAGGGGATCAGGTTGCCTGGCTGTGAGCAGGAATTGAGGTCAGGGGCTGGGCAGGCAGGGAGGGGTCTGAGTCCTTCACTCTGTAGGGGGAAGTTTGGCTATTTCTGTCCAACTTTCTCTGATAATCTGATTGGAATCAACTCCCCGTCACTTCCCATTCGCATTGGACATGTGTTTTTAGAAGTTTATAACTTAATTTTCATTAAGGTGGAAGAAATCAGTAAGAGTACTTATCACTTTGTTTACAAAAATGATACCGAGAGCAGATCCTCCTCACCCTCCTCCCTCCCCCCAAGGATTTGGGGGACCTTACAGTTTCACTGTGTCAGTCCAGCCAACAAACCCTTTATTTTTGCTACTTGGCTTATGTGATGGTTTAAATATTAACCTCACGTGTCTGGGGTGCAGCAATGAGAGGGGGGTCTGGAGAGTGTGCAGTAATTTGTTTGTGTTAGCCACCAGGCCACCAGGTTGTAGAAACCCCTTTGTGTCACAAGTCTCATTTTCTAAGGGCCTGAGTTGTTATCCACCCCCCCACCCCCCGCAACTGCCAGTCTCCACATGCTTCCTGAGAGACAAGATGAGCAATGAGCACAAATATTAATTTTGTGAAGGGCCTGCCCACACGTTAGTTAGCAGCTCAGGGGGCGATATCTGGCATAGGAAATCATCTTTTTTTCAGGAAGTAGATTTGGGCAGTTTTCTGCAGGAGACTTGGGTCTGTGTAGGAACAGAACCTAGGAAGAGCTTATACACATTTGACAATTTATTTTTTAAATTATATTTTTTGATTTTTTAAAATTGTTAGTATAAAGGTGATATACAGAAGGGTTCCAGTTATATACATCAGGTAAAGAGTACATTCCTTTTTGGACAATGTCACCCCTTCCCATTCTCTCTCCCAGTTTTCCCCTCTCATCCCCACCAACAAGTTATATAGTTCATTTTCAACATAGTATCTAGTGTTTTCTTTGGAAAATTACTACCTGTAAGTAGTTGTGTAAAGGGGTTTCAATTCAATGTGTTAATGTGTGAGTCCACTGACTCTTGATCAGTGTCACCCCTTTCATGCTTCTCTCCCATCTTTCCCCACCCATCCTACCCCTCAGTTTACCTCATCCCACTTTCCCATGTGTACATTGAATATTATGACTGCACTCACCCACTCTTCCTCTCTCTGTTCATCTACCCACCTCCCCTTGACTTCAACCCCTCACACATGCTCCAGCTTCCTGGAATTCATTTTGTTGAACTTGACAGTTAATAAAAATGGCATTTAAATTCTGCCCTGTGTTCTGTTTGTGTCCGGCTTGCCCAATGAAACCACCTTATTGAGGGAAGGAGGCATTTCTGTGTTACTTGGTACCCTGCCTGGGTCTGACATATAATTTTGTTAAGATAGACTTGAGGGAGTTAATGCTGCCTGGAGTTTGAGGAGAGGAGCGATGAGAACAGCAGTTAGGCTAAGGGCTAGGAATTGTTAAGATGGTGGGATTTCCTATTGGGATTTGCATCTGGCCCAGAGCACATGGAGGGCAGATGCCTGACAGGCCAAGAGGACTGTCATGAAGACAGCACAGTCATTTTGGGCAGCTGGGGATAAATTTGGAAGGTGCCGGATGGAGATGACATGCAAAATAGCCACTGATGCCATTATGGATGGGGTGACATCCGTGGATGTCAGCACACCATGGCTTCTACCCCAAGGCTTAGGTGGGGATAACAGAGATCTAAAGGCCAGGTCAAAGTCTCATTCCCTTTAACTTCCTCTGCTCTCTCTACCCTAGGTACCTTAATTGAGTGACCAAGGAAGCCAGGATCTGTGTGTGCTGGCCCTAGCTGGGGGGTAGTGGTGTCTCCTAAATATTGATTGTGAAATCCTCAAGAAGTTTGTGAGTCAATTTTTAAGGAAGCATTATTTCAATTAAATTATAGTGACGTAGAGTTAAATAAGTGATATTAAAAGCCATGGTAAGCTAGCTGGACACTGATAGCTCACACCTATAATCCTTGCAACTCAGGAGGTTGGGATCTGAGAATCATGGCTTGAAGTCAGCCTAGGCAGGAAGGTCTGTAATTAACCACTAAAAATCTAGAAGTACTGCATCAGCCTTGAAAGGAAAAACTAAGGGACAGCACCCAGGCTCTGAGTTCAAGCCCAGGGTTGGCATATATACCAGCTGAGTTTTACAAGCATGTTTTCAAGTCCCTTGTGAGTCCTGTTCTGTAGAGAGGGTACAGAGTGATGCCAAACTGCTGGCATCCAAATCTCACTGTACCATTTTACAGACAGGTCACACTGGGGATGTTACTTAGTTTCTTTTTGGGCTTTTAAAAAATGTGTTAACAAAGCTGGGTTTCAGTGGCTCATGTTTGTATTCTTAGTGATTTCTGAGGCTGAAATTTGGAGATTGCATCTCGAAACCAGCCCAGGCAGGGAAGTGTGTGAGAATCTAATCCAATTAACCACCCAAAAGTCAAAAGTGGATCTCAAATGGTAGAGAGCTAGCTTTGAGTGATAAAGCTAAAAGATAGTGCTAGGCCCTGAGTTCAAGCCCCAGTACTGGCACAAAATAAAAAGGATTAACATTAGAACATAAACTTCATATGGGAACTAAATGACTTAAATAAGTCATATGTTTAGAAGAGGGCCCGGAAGATTATTAACAGTTGGGTTAAATTATTTATTTTATTTTATTTTTTAAAAAAATATATTTTTTATTGTACAGATACTGTCCAGAGGGGTTACAGTCACATGAGCAAGGTCATGAGTCCATTTCCTATCGAGCATTGTTTCCCCTACCATCTCTTTCCTCCCCACCTCTCCACCTCCTCCCTCCCCAACCCCCCCGCCCGCCCGCCTGCAAAGTTGTAAAGTTTGTTTTCATCATACTGTCTTGTACATCTCATTGTCACAATGGGTCATCCTGTAAAGTTAAATGATCAGTAGTAGTATTTTTAATGAGACTAGCAAGGAAGAGACCTAATGTCCTCTTTGATGTGTTGTAATTTGCATATGTTGCCATTCAGAAGGAGAATGTTTCTTTTAATTTAACCGCAAAGACATTATAGATGGAATAACTATTATTTGTCATGTGCTAAGTAAGCCCATAGAATTGGAATAAGTACAGTGCTCATGATGGAAAGAAACTGTGTCTTTCCCCACCAAGTTGGCCTTTCAAGCCCCATGGATCTTACTTAATTGTCACCCTCACATAAGGATCTTAGTTCCCATTCCCTAAACCCATAGCTTTCCATAGGCCCTTCGGATGCAACATGAGCAGGCCACTTGTCCTGCCCCCTCCACATCTCTCTGGTCCTGGTAGTGTCAGTCCTTGAGCAGATCCTGACCTGTCCACTAGGCACCCAGTGAGCTCCCATCTATTTACATCATGCTGCTTCTTTTACTTATGATTCACAGTGCAGAATAATATTTGCTTTTTAGAATCACATGAAAGTAATGAGGGGATTTCACCATATGAAGTTCCCCTCCAAAGAACAGGCCGGGTGTAAATATCACTCTTTCTCTTGCAGCTGGATGACTGCACACTGCAGCTGTCCCACAATGGCACCTACCTGGATCTGGAAGCCACCCTGGCGGAGCAACGGGATGAGCTGGAAGGCTTCCAAGATGATGCTGGGTAAGAGCAGTCTCTAGCTTTGCTGACTGGGCCCCACTTCCCAGGAGGCCTGAGGTCTCAGAATACCTTGGCTTTGACCTCTATTCCTAATCAACAAGCGGGGAAAAACAAGTGATTTATCACTGTGATTAGGCTCTATTTCATTTTGAAGGACTTTTTTGTTGTTGTTGTTGGTAGTGGGGCTTGAACTCTGGAGCTGGGCGCTGTCCCTGAGCTCTTCAGCTCAAGGCAAGTACTCTACCACTTGAGCCACAGGGCCACTTCTGGTTTTCTTGTGGTTAATTGGAATAAGAACTCATGGACTTTCCTGCCCTGGCTGGCTTTGAATGGCGATCTTCAGATCTCAGACTCCTAAGTGGCCAGGATTACAGGTGTGAGCCACTGGCAGCCGGCTGACATTTTGTTGTTATTGTTGTACCCAGTCCTGGGTAAAGTCAGGGCCTCATGAACTCACAGCTGGCACTCTACTCCTTGAGCCCCACTGCTAGTCCAGCTTTTTAGCTGTTTAATTGGAGAGAGAGTCTCTATGCAAGCTGGTAGTAATCCTCAGATTTCAGCTTCCTGTGTAGTTAGGATTATAGATGTGAACCACTGGTGCCCATGTCTTAAGAGACTTTTCTTGACAAGGTTACATGGAGCTAATCGGTCCTAAAAAACCCTTCTGGTATAGTATACTCATGCACATCATTTTTACTTTCCAAGTTATTTTTAATTTCAAATATCATAATTAAATCATTATTTTCCAGATCTTAGTGGACTTTGACAGCTGTTTTAAACATTATCTTCAATTATTTACTGGATGTTTAATTTTCTTGGCAGAGGCCTTAGTAAATAGAGTAATACTGTGTCATCCTTTACAGTCATTATTGTGGAGAAAAGTAATTATTATGTTGATTAATATGAAGTTATTTTGAGCCTACATCTGTTTTGCTTAATACTCCTGTTCACTATGAGTCACAATAAAGTGATACTCATAAAAAACCAGAGATGCACACAGAAAATGGACTCTGTTGGATATTGGCAGTGTCAACATGGATATTATGTGTGCTGTACACTCAAGCTGTACACTCAAGCTGTACACTCAAGGAGGATCTATCCATAAACCACATTTTACTTACTGTGTGTGTGTGAGTGTGTGTGTATATCCTGGAATTTGAATCCAGGACTTGTACTTCCCAAGCAGGTACTTCCTGTGTCTGTTTGCTTTTGTTATTTTTGGAATATGTCTCAGTTTTTGACCAGGCCAGCCTGGACCATGGTTCTCCTTTTTAGGCATCTTGCATAGTTGGGCACATGTCACTGTACCCAGCTTTTTATTAGTTGAGATGGATTCTTGTGAATTTTTTGCTGAAACTGGCCTCAAACAGCAATTCTCCTGTTCTTTGCCTCCCAAGTAGCGAGTGTTAAACATGTGAGCTGGCATGTCCAGCTTTACCATCATTTTAAAATTAACATTATTAGACTAGTAGATTTTGGAGAAATTTTCTTGTGATATTAAAAAAATCACGTATCTGAAAAATGATATCCTTTTATGTAAGCTGTCAGAATGCTGGCTGATGGCAGTCTAATTGGATAATTTCATGGTTCATTGGTCAAACAGACCCCAGGATTATTGTGAGTGGACGATTGTCAACTTGAAAAATGTCTTTACTTCCTGTCATCCTTGGAGACTGTGTTCTGTTTGATGTTATTCTCTGTCTAACCAAACCTTAAGTGATTTGGAGATGGCAGTCCAGGAAAAATAAAACTAGTATATTAGATAAATATAAGAATTGAGAAACTAATAGTTATGGGCACCTACTACACCAAACACTATACTGACACCTTATTTTGCTATCTTTGTTTAATAGTCTATTTTCCTAAGAGCCAGTTAGTTGGCTTTGGTTATTTCCATTTTTTTCTTTCCTGTTTTGTTTTGTTTTTAATTGTCAAGGTGATCCACAGAGGGGTTACAGTTACATAAGTAAGGTAGTAAGTACATTTCTTGTCAAACTTGTTACCCCTTTCCCTCATTTTTCTCCTACTTTACTCCCTCCACCCCTCCCCACAAGTTGTACAGATCATTTCTAGCATATTGTCTTGTATATATCGCTGTTGCATTGGTTCCCCTTTGTCCTTTGTCTCACCATTCTGTTGCTCCCCTTCCCTAATTCAAATAAATGTATATACAATACCATGGTACCAAAATCAAATACAGTGACAACAGGGGATATACCATAGAGGGAAGAACATACAAAAGAAACAAAAAAAATCACATAGTACATTAAAAAACGACGACAACAACAAAGAAAAACCTTGTGTGTTATCTCCACTTTTAAAAATCAGACAACTGAAGGATAAGAGTTAAAATGCATATGCCGGAACCAGGTGCAGTTGCTTATGCCTGTAATCCTAGCTACTCAGGAGGCTGAGAATTTAGGATTGTGGTTCAAAGCCAGCCCAGGGAGGGAAATCTATGCAACTCATATCTCCAATTAGCTACTAAAATAGTCAGAAGTGAAGCTGTGGCTCTATTGGTAGAGTGCTAGCCTTGAGCAAAAGATCTTAGAGACAGCACCCAGGCTCTAACTTCAAGCCTTAGGACCAGAACACACAGGCACACAGACAATCAGACATACACACTACTTAAGCAGGGAGAGAGAGCTAGGTTGGTACACAGGTTTGCGGATTCCTGTGTCTGTATCCCTCTGACACCTCCGAAGTGCTGGGCAAAGGCACAGGTTCTATGCAACATGTCCATTTCTACCTTTGGTGACATAGAGCTGGTTCATACAGGGACATCATGTGCCACTTCCAGGCACATGGCAGGGTGGCTCCAGTACTGACAGTATATCTTGCTGGTGACATCAGTGTCCTGACACAACAAGGTCCTCCACAGCTGTCCTAGTGAGCCAGGGAGATTCTGTGGCAAACTGGCCAGTGTAGATCTCATTTCTTTCTTCTTCTTTAGATTTCTTACCTGGCCATAGGTCCATTCATTAGCCTTGTGATGTCAATTGATTGTAATGAGAGATACCCAGGAGATCAGAAAAACACACTTCTTGGTGCATCTGGAGGGTATTTCCAGAGAGTATTGACTTGGTGGAGAAGATTTGCCCTGAATGTGGGCTACACAATCCTATAAGCTGAGGGACTGGGTGTCTAGAAGGGGAAGGAACAGGAAGTGAGTGAGCACAGGCCTGCCCCTCCTCTCTCTTCCCCTCTCCCCCCCACTTTTCCTGGCCACTATGATGTGGACTGCTCAGCTCTGCCACCCTCTTCCTGCCATGATTGACTGAAATCTCTGAAACTAGGTTCTAAGAATTCTTTCTTCCTTGAAGCTGTTTTACTCAGGTAAACAAGAAATACAGCATGATGAGAGGGCCGAACTTAAAGACACGGAAACTGAAAATGGCTTAAAAGATGTTAGGTAACCCCACATTTGACAAACGGACCCCAAACTCACCTCAGAGTGGGGAGCTTTATATCTTTGATATGGTCTTTATCCCTAGTGCCACCCATCCTGTCCTTTGGAAGACTCTCAGAATGACACAATATTACTCAGCTCTTCTGATCCTCTGGAGCCCATGTATCCCTATCCTGACACAGGGGCAGAAGATGACAGCATTGTGAGCTGTCACCCCATTCTCTCAGGTGAAATACCCCCCACTGAGTACCAAAGCACAAGGTGAATCCCTTGGTTAACCAGCAGGCAATATAGGCCTAGGCCTAACTAACACCCCCCCCCCCCCCCCCCCCCCGCTCTGCTCCAGCCCTGACTCAGCAGGTGTCAGAATACATTTCTGGTATGGCTTTCCCTAAAAATCCCCCCTAGGTATGCTCCAAGGTGTGTATGTGGCTTTTGGCAAGGTCTGTGTCCTGAGACTCATATCATCTCCCATAATTGGTAGTTAAAATACAATGATTTCCTAGTTAATTGCCCTTTTGGAGTATGAACTTACCAATTGAAATTTTATTTCTGCTTCTGATGTCTTTGTATCAATTATAGGAAAATATTTGCTAATAATTGTGGCCACCTAACGAAGATGTTTGAAAATGATGGTATTTAAAACTTTTTATTTGAGACTATGTAGCCAAGGCTGGTCTCAAACCCATGAGCCTCCCACCTCAATCTCTTGAGTGCTGGGATTACTGTACAGGTATGTATCACCACACTTGGCTCAATTATGATATTTTTGCCTATAGTGTGTTCTGAGCGAGTTTTCTTCCTAGAGGAATTTGTTTTTGCTTTTGTCTGTGCCTTCCTTTTTTATGCCAAGACTAAAAATTAACTTCCTTGTTTAGAATGATCACTCAGACTATTGCTAACCAAGGAAGAGGAAAAATATTAACAGTGGAAGGACAAAGCAATTATAAGGTGAAGAAAACAGAGCAAGGTCTTTTTATGTCTTCCAAGGTCAGAGAATTAGCAGATAGCATAGTGCAGGGGAAACAGTAGCCTCTAGATTATTCTTGACCTTGCCACTGTGTGACCTTGGGGAAGCTGCTCTTCTGACAGTTCACAAACTAAGAACATTTGTAAAATTTATTTATGTAAAATAAGGACAAAATATTAGCCAGTCCTATTTTCCTCCCTCCTGGGGTTCTGGAGGAGGTCTCAGGTACCCCAAGCGTTACACTGTGGTGAAGGACACGGACTTTGTGGTTATTCCTGGCCTATGTGACATGGAAATGTGGATTCTACTCTTCACCTCAGCTTCCTTTTAAGTAGGGATGGTTTAATCACAATACTGCCTCCTTTGGATGTTGTGAAGTAGTGTGATGATGCACTGAGAACATTTATACCAGTACCCAACTCTCAGTACATATTTAAAAACCAGTAATTGGCCAGGTGCTGGTAGCTCATGTTTGTAATCCTAGCTACTTAGGAAGTTGAGATCTGAGGATCATGATTTGATGCTAGCCCAGGCAGAAAAGTCTTTGAGCTCTTATCTCTAACCACCAAAAAGCAGAAGGTGTGGCTTAAGTGGTATAGTGTCAGCCTTGAGCAGAAAAGCCCA